GAATCTTTTATATAAACCAAGGAGAACCTTTTATATAAACTGAGAACCTTTATATTATCTAATGAGAATCTTTTATATAAACCAAGGAGAACCTTTTATATAAACTGAGAACCTTTATATTCACAGAGAACCTTTATATTATCTAATGAGAATCTTTTATATAAACCAAGGAGAACCTTTTATATAAACTGAGAACCTTTATATAAACCAGAGAACCTTTTATATAAACCAATGAGAACCTTTTATATAAACCAATGAGAACCTTTTATATAAACCAGAGAACCTTTATATTATCTAATGAGAATCGTTTATATAAACCAAGGAGAACCTTTCATATAAAGACCTTGAAACGTTCCATCTCATGTTCTTCTATGTGAGATACAGTGGTTAGCATACTGTTAGCATTAGCTTGGTCCTGACTGGCCTCCAGCTGCAGATGTGTTCTGCTGATCTACTGTTCGGTAGGAGCGAGTCTTTCCCCACATGTTTGAGTTTTCCATAAAGACAGGAAGTGCCTACAGCTTAAGAAAAGAACTTCCTGCAGAATCTCCATTTTGTTTTTTTCATGCAGTTTTTGTTCCTTCACTGTTACTTCAGCTGCTGCTTTTTTTCATAAACATGTTGCAATAACCTGGTTGCATAAATGAAAGCGTTTCTACTCTGGGAGGTTCAGCCCATCTACCTCATCAAAGTTCTCAGAACCACAGCAGCAGAGGATGAGGAACTCGACCAATAAGAGGAGAATCTTCATCAGTGTATGTTTTATTGAGCATGTTGAGCAGCACAGTGTTACCTCCTCTACCAGGCCTGTATTTATTTGTCATTTATTAAATAAAAGTGGATTGAAATGAGTCTGCATTGTCTTCAAATAAAATCAGATTCCCAGTAAGGTTGGAGAGGCACCCAGACGGCTCAGCAGGGATTCAAGTCTGAAGAGGAATATTTGATGTCATTTGATAAATGAGAATAAAAGTTTTATTATTGCCAGTCTGATGCAGAGCTGCTTCAGGAACAACTTTTACAAAGCTTTCCTCTAAGGATGCTTGTTCGAGGTTAAACTGCTTCACAGAAGTCATGAAATGTGTCTTTAGGCTGTTTAAGCATGAAGTCCATCAGTCTGTGATCCACCTGATGGTCTGTTGAACCTGCAGCTGAAACCCACACACCTGAGGACCCAGGAATGGATGAAGACAAGATGTCCCATCAGACTCCTGGGTTTTAACCCGTCTGTCCAGATCCACTGGAGCGGAGGAGGCTCAGCCTGGCATGGGAGGGGTTTAGGTCAGGGGTCATCAGGTCCAGGATCAGACTCCCTGACTTAGCCTGTTGGACTGCAGTCAGGTTCTCGGGGTTCTGCCAACGACCCGGTAGTTTTCAAGCAGGGAAACATCTAGAAACTCCAGGACCAGAAAGGAAGATATCTGGTTGAAATGGTTAAAGGCCTGTACTCATACAGCACTTTGGTCAAGTCAGGAGACCAAAGTGCTTTCTGGTGAATGACATTCACTCACACACTGATGGTGGTGAGCTACATTGTAGCCACAGCTGCCCTGGTTTCACTGACAGAAGCAGGGCTGCCGTACACTGGCCCCACCGGGCCCTCTGACCACCATCAGTAGACCATGCAGGTGAAGTGTCTTGCTCAAGGAAACAACAACACTGAAAGCCAGAGTCAGGCTTGAACCGTCAACCTTCGATTGAAGGGCAAACTCCTAAACCTGTGGCCTCTGCGGTTTAGATGTTCAGTGATTATAAAAAGGAATAGCATTGAATCGGTACCTGGAGGGCTTCTTTAAAAAAAGAGGACCAAACCAGAACCTTTCATCGCCATGGAAACCCCTGGCTCAGAGAAGCCGATCCTGAGCGTGGACATGAGGGGACGCGCACAGAACATCATCAGCATGGAGAGTACATCTGGAGCCTTTCCTTTCAGTCTATTATTTACCAGGTGACTGGATTCATTCCAGAGTTCATTCAGTTCCCTTCAGGGTTCTGGGATGAGGCAGACCTCAGGGATGAGGCAGACCTCAGGGATGA